GGGATTTCCAGGCCTAGGATAGCTTCCTCAGCAAGCACACTGAGCTAACTGTCTAGACAGCAGGGTGGGGAGCTCCGCCTAGCACAGTTCCCCCCACAGGGTAGTTGTGAGGGCTCACCAGGGTGACACACAGAAAGCCCTTTGGCTGATGGTTGTTGACACCCAGCAAATTCTTTCCCTTGGACGAGTGGCCAGAGGGAGATGGGTGGAGGCAGAAATGAAGGCCTGGGCCCGTCCACCGGGGCCAAGGATGGGCCTGGATCCTCCTAGGAGCTGGGAAATAAGCCTGGCAGGGTCATGGCGTCCAGCAGGAGGGACAATTAGTTTGGAGTTCAGGCTTTAAAGCCCATATTCGGAAGAAGGCTCCTGAGACCTGTCAGAGTGGCAAGCAGAGGCCCCCTCTTCTCCCCTTGAGATCACTGGGGAAGTTCCCACTCTCCTTCTCCTCCTCTCCTTGCTGGTAACTCACAGCCACTCTCTTTCCCACTCTGTCCCCTCAGCCATCCACTTCATCTGTCACTTCCGATGAGAAAGTGGACTATGTGCAGGTGGACAAGGAGAAGACCCAGGCCCTGCAGAACACCATGCAGGAGTGGACAGATGTGCGGCAGTCCTCGGAGCCTTCCAAGGGTGCCAAGCTGTGACCAGAGGATGAGCCGCCGAGCCCAGGGAGGGGCCAGGAGGCAGTGTCTCCAGAGCTGGCCCCTCTCCACCTCCCCTCCCCTCCCCTCCCCTCCTCCCCACCTTCTTCTCTGCCACTCTCGGCCTTCAAAGCACTTGACATCAGGGACCCTGAACCGTTCCCCTGGGAGGTTAGGGCCTCATCAAGGCACTTCCTCTGCCCGCTCGGGGCCCACTTCTGATTTTTATCAGTAATGGCCATGCCTCCACTCACCTTAGTTAGGAGCTATTGCCAAAAAGCATCCTTCAGCCTCTTCCTGGCCTTTAGACCTGACTATCTACCAGATGTTTGGAGAGAGGGGTTGGGGCCCTGAGCCAGACTCCACACCTCACATTCGGTCGCACCCCTCAGCCCTCTTCCCTCCAGCCACTGGGCTACCTCTCCTTCAGTCCCAGAAGACAAGTCGTCTCACTGACCCAGGGAGCCAAGGACCAGCAGACCAAAGTGGATACGGACTTTTTCATCCCGGTTTTTCTTGGTGGGGAGGCAAGGCCAGGCCACCAAAAGATGAAATAGTTGAGAAGAAAAGCCAGTGGTGGTCCTGAGGGGCAAAGGAATTAGATCCCTAGATGCAGAAGGGCAGTTGATACCCACAGGGGTCCCCCACTTTCAGGCTGAGGCCATGGCAGGGCAGCAGCGGGTGGACAGGCAGAAGGATGAGGGACAAAAGGAAGGAAAAAGTGATGGTGGGCAGCTGGGAAGGAGCAGGGCTTGCAGCTCAGGACATAGAGGTGACAAGGAAAATGGGTCAGGGCCCCCTGAATTCAGGAGCCACAGGCCCCCCCATCACTCTCTGACAATGCCACTCTGGGCCAGAGGGCAGTCTTCCTCCCCAGTCCCCCCTGGAGGGCCCCCACTGAACCCAAGAGCTCCACACAGGAGGCAGCTTGGACCAGGCTGGGAGACACAGCCATAGCGTGTAGTGTGGGATTGCCAGCATGGTGGGGGTTGGGGGAGGTGGTAGGGAGTGTGGTGTAGGTGCAGGTAATGCAGGGACCGAGGGGGAACCTTGGACAGGAAGGGCTGGGTAGAGGCACAGGGAAGTCCAGTGCCCTGCAGTGGGGGTGGTGAAGCTGCAGCCAGTGAGTTTCTGGGAGGTGGACAGTGTGGCAGGAGGAGGGTGCAGAGGTGGCCTAATGGGACGTGAGGCAGAGGCTAGGGCCATGCAGCAAGCACGGAAATATATCCAAAGGACCTGGTGGAGTGCCCCGGGCAGTGCATAGGGGTGCAGGGCGGAGCAGAAAGTGAGGAGCGATGTGCGTGGCAGCATGATACAAGGGCCACTCCCAGGATGGAGGGACGGCAGGTCAGGCAGGATAAGGGCGAGCAGGGCAGAACTGTGCCTAGAGGACCACACATGGTACAGCTGATGGTTTGTGCTCATGGGCTGGGGTATGTGCCAGGTCCCGGGGCAGGAACACATCTGGCGTGGTGCCAGGCCCAGAGGGTTTCCTGAGCCGGCCTCCCCTCTGTTGCTCCCCAGCATTCCAGCTGCCACGTTGGACTCAAACTTGGCTACAGGGATGGGAGAAGCCAACCTTCTCCTTGGAAGGCTTGAAAGGTCATCACATCAGCAGGGACTGGAGGTAGGGTATCACCCGAGGCTTTTTCTCCTATGCCTAGGAGAATTTTTTATGTTGAAAGTTCTTGACCAAATTTTCAAGAGTTTCAGAGGCAACAGGGCAGACCAGACGTTGCGTCTTACCCTAGGGTGAACAGACCTTCTTCCTCCAAAAAAATGACTTCCCACCATGTCTGATGGGGGTGGCTACCCACTCCCCTTTCAGCTCCTGTGAGCTCACACACTTCGCCAGACCCATGGCCTGGCCTTCCTCTAAGGAGCCATTCTGGAAGCAGTACGTCCCCTATGGTAGCTCTTCTCCTCTTAGCTTCAGTTCAGATCAACTCGAGAAGCATTTATTAATGGCTCCTGTGGCCAGATGCTGGCTGAGGCACTGAGGACACAGGAATTAATCAGACTTTGTCCCTGAACTTGAGATGGTCACAATCAGTGAGAAAAGGACACGAAACAGTGTTGACGGCCATGAGAGAAAGGACTTAGGATGCTGATGGAGTGTGGAGGAAGTAGACTACTACTCAGGGAGGTTGGTGCAAGAGTGGGGTAGAGATCAGGGAAGGTGGAGTCTAGGGAAACTGTAAGGCCTGAGAGGGCCTTATAGTTGGATAGGTTGGGTTTTTACGGGGAAGGCAGGCAAGGCCTGGGTCCAATGACGGCGGAAGGAAGGAGAAACATAGAAAGCCTCATGTTTTGTGAACAAAAAGACCTCTGGGAGTATAGGTCCAGCCACTCAGATGAAACAGTAGTGATGACTGTGGCTACACTGGGCAGGGTATGCAGGGTACTGGTTTACTCTGCCCAGCACTGACAGTGTCCCTTTAAGGCCTCTACAAGGGGTCCCAGATGGCAGAGCTTTTAACTGGTACCTCCCCTGTGCCCCCAGCAGGCTACAAATGGGCCCAGATATCGCTACCCTCAGTTTATAGCCCCACTAGCCTCCCATAAAAATGTGAGCGTGCTCTGAGTGTGCCATGATGGGAATGAAACTGGTTGGAGTCTTCAGAGACTGAGGTGCTCAAATCCAATCTCCAAGAGACCTCCTTCCAGCTCTTGGTTCCTGTAACTGTCAAAACCCTTAGGGTGGAAGTGTAGGGATAGAGGTGGAAGGAAGGACAAGATAAGAAATTAGGCTTTTGAAAGCAGAGCTCTGGCTTAACAGGCCCCAAACTACCTACCAGCCATGTCTAGCATGTACCCACCCCCCAAAAGTCAACTCAGTTTGAAAAACTGGTCCTTTGGCCAATCCGTGGGTCAAAGTCCACCTTTCGCGGTGGCCTAGCAAGGACTGAGACCCCAGAGCGGGGATGCCTTCTTAACCCAGCACAGCTCTCGCAAGGACTCGTCCTGCCTGGGGCTCTCCAAAGGAGCCTTCTGCACCCAATCCCAGCTCCACCTCTGCAAGGTTAAAGTTGAGTGGAACAATGAGAAAAGAGGGAGCTGGTGTCTCCCTGGGTCCTTGCTTTGCCATCTGTGAAATGGGTGGTTGGATTAGACGGTCTGCAGTCCCTTCCACAGCTGATGGCCAGCTGCTTTGAGTGGGAACTTCCTGCCGCACCTTCCGTCTCGAGGGTCTGTGTCACCAGGGGTGGGCAGCACCCCAGCTTCTTCGTTTGAAGCCATTAAAATATGCCCCTTTCCTAGGACAAAAGCACAACCATTCAGAAGCTGTTGGAGCACGAGCTCAGCCGGTCTGCCCTTTGGCCCCTTTACCTGCTACGGAGCTAGTGTCAGCCCCACGCCTTGGCCCAGGCCTGCCCACCCACACCCCTCTGCCAGAGCTCTGGAAGGGTACAAGACAGAGGGAAATTAGCACTCCCCTCCCGTCCGGGCCCTCACCTGTAAAATGTGAGGGAAGCTGTGCTCCAAAGGCCTTCCTGGGGGAGCTGTCAGACTTGCCAAGCTGTCTGGGGCCTGGGACCATGGTGGGCTACCTACCGAGGGGGCCCACTGGAGATTCAGGCTATTGTGTGATATCTGGTGACGCGTGTTCTCGTGTATTTGTTGGCTACTTGTGTCTTGAAATTTAGAATCATTTCGTACAGAATTGTTGCTATTTGTCGGGAAGAGAAAAATGGGCTAGAGAAAGCCCAGTCTTAAGTTCTTGTCTTGTTACCATTCAAAATTGACATTTAATTTTTCAAATCACTGTTGGTGCCTAATCACTTAAGTTATTAATTTATTCTGTTTTCTTTTTTTAAAAAAATTGTAACATATTTATCCTGTTGGTAGATCTGGGGGTGGGGTGGGAATGTGTTCAAGTGGGTCATATTTTTGCTGTGGTAACACATGGTACAGGCCTGGAGCTTGCAGGTCCCTTTTTACTGTGGTGTTGGAGCAGGACAATAATAAAAAGTCCATTAGAAATGCAACCCAGAGCAGGCTGCCCGAGTCGTCTCATCTGCCGGGGCTGGGCGCTGGCCCCCACACTCAAGTCCCATTGTGAGGGCGAGAATGATCCCAGGAAGGCTGGTCTTGGGCCCTGCCCGGGTCACCCGTGCAGGAATGGGATGATGCCACCCAGCTCTGCCCTCTGGGGCCTCCCAGTCCCGGCCCTTCAGTACAGAGGGCACTCACAATCAATCACAAGTTGCTGGGGGCAGGGGTATGTCCCCACCTGACCACCAAGCAGCCTGGGGCATTGTCAGAAAACCAAGGGTACAGCAGACATCACGGCCACCGAAATGGGAAGAACATCTTTAAAAGGCTTCAGAGAACAGTTTTATTTCTGTTAGAGAAACAGGTCTTTGCTTCACTTAGAGGGAGCTTATTAGCAGTGTCAGGGCACAATGAGGTCAACATCTGTACTTCACCAGACCCCCTCAGGCAGCCACTCTCACGGCTATAGTGGCCAACTGATCACAGAGGAGCCAAGCCGGCCCGCTTCCTCTGAAGACGACGGCTTCAGTCTCTGCAGTGAAGTAAGGACTCTACCTTAACCAGAAGGGGGATGCTAATGGTGGCATCTCAGGCACTGAGGCAGGCTAGGGAAGAGAGGGCATGGAGGTAAAGGGGCTCCCGCCACGAGGGGGCTGCGTCCTTGCTTGCTACAGGGATGGGGGTCAGACCGTGCCCTGCTGCTTCCCACCTACTCCTCTCAAAGTAGTACAAACAGTACAGGAACCCCCTTGGAGAAACAAGAGGATGGCCAGAGGGGACACACAGCCCCTTTTTTTGTGCAAGGACTCAGATCCTGCTGTGCTTTTCCTACTATAAAGCAGGACTTGTCTGAGCAGAGCCGGAAGGGAAGTGCTACTTGATGGCAAAACATCAGAGCTGAGGTTCAGCCCTGGTTCCTGAACACAATCAGATGCTCCAGTACAGGGAGCCTGCAGGGGAGGGAGGGGGGGAGGCAAAGCCCAGAGTGTGCCCACCTAAGTTGCTTCAAGTTAATCAGGACACTTGGGTGTAAAACTTAATAGGACTGATCCCAGCATCAGGGGCTTGGGTCTTACCTCCACGTCTGAGAGTCTCTGTGGACCCTCCAGGCTGAGGTCTGGTGTCCCAGAAGCTCTCCCTCCTCCTTGCCCTTGGAAGAGCCTACTCTGGGACTGGGCCTGCCTCCACAGCCTCCCTCAGACCCACCTGGCAGTGCCGCCTGGACCTGGGCTCCCAGAAGGAAGGGGTCACTGCTTCCCGAGGTTGGCTATGGGGCCCCCAGAGGAGGGAGCAGGCTGGGAGTGGGTTCACATTAGAAGACCAGTCTGTGGAAGTCACCACCATTGCCACCTGCAGGGTTGCAACCCCCTGGAGAGCCTTCATCCTCATCCTTGTCTTCATCAAAGCCTCTCCCCCAGTGCGGAGATGCGGGGAGTGCAGAGATGTAGGCTGCCCTGCTCCGTGCCTCCTTCTCCTGCTCCTGGGAACAGACGGGGGAGGCAGCTTAGGATTCAGACCCTGAAGCCAGAGTCGTCCTCTCATTCTCTCCCCCAACACCACCTAGCCCAGCACTTCTGAGTGTCTCCTCCGAGTCGCCAGGACAGGGTGGAAGGATGGGTCCGGCCCACCTCTGTCTAGTCTCCAAAAATCTCTCCTCTTCCTCTCAAGAAAAAATAGTCCCCTGGAGGCCAAGAACTTATTCATACGAGACTGGCTGGCTGACAAGGGCCTGATGTTGCACCGTGAGGTCTGGGGACGTGCAGAGTCGCCCCACACGGGAGCCCGTCTGCAGCCTCCGCCCATGCTGTGCAGCTCACGGCCCCCGCCTGCGAGACAGCTCTGCCTCCCGAAGAGAGGCCAGCCTCACAGACGCTTCCACCCGGACAGCCCGACAGCAGCACAAAAACAGGGCTGGTGTCCCACCCCAGGCGCCACCTTCCCCACACAGGACACCAACTCTAGACACTGGTATCCATATGTCCTGTGGCTATAGCTAGTACCCAATGCACTGGTCGGAGCTCTGGGCTTCTCGTAGCTAAATATTTTGATACCACCCTTGACCCTAAAGAGTGGGGTCACAGGCAGTCACGCAGGAGGTTGACGGGTAGGGTGGGTCCCCCACGAGTATCCTCCACTGACTCGTACTCAACTGTTCACTCTCATAGACCCCCGTGCTGCTCCTCAGCACACTTACTTAACTAATTATGCAGGTATTTAATGTCTGTTCCTCTGAAGTAAGTATATTCCCAGCACTAAGCAATGGATGAATGCATTAAAAAAAGGAAGAGACTCAAAGATGAGAGAAATAATGCATGTAAGCTAGTGGCTGCACTGGGACCAGACCCCCTCCACCCAGGAGACGGACCAAAGCCCTCAAGGGGCCTGCTCACCTGCAGGTAAAGGATGTTGTCTTTGGAAATGGCTTCCATCAAGTCCTTGTGAAGGGTGGGCTCTGCCCGGACTCTGGGAGAGCCCAGCTCGGCCTCAGGCCCTTCCCTGGGCCGCTGCCGGTAAAAGAGCACGTAGGCTGTGTCCTTGGGGAAGAAGGAGGTGACATTGCTGACAGACTCAAAGGAGGAGAAGGACACTCGAGTGTCGTTGAACAGGTACCACTGGTTCTCAGGCTCTGGCCTGTCGGCAGTTCCCAGAGAAGGGGGTGGGCGGGCGGCGCCCTCGCGGGCATAGCAGTAGTAGTGACCGCTCTCTGAGGACACTCCGGAGTGCACCACGACACTGCAGAGGTCATAGGCCTGGCCCCGGCCGCCAGCCAGCGGCAGGCGGAGCAGCAGGGGGATGGCGACGTCGTCCAGGATCTTGCGGCGCCGCATGGTGCGCAGGTCGAAGGAGAAGCGCAGCAGCGTGAGGATGAGGTAGCGCGGCCCCTGGCTCAGCTCCACCACCTTCTCCGCGTCCTGCAGGGAGGCGCAGGACTCGCAGTAGTAGCGGTTCTCTGCTGTCAGCCGCTCGGGGGACAGGAAGTAGTTGACCAGGTCCAGGACAGAGCGGGAGCCCTCGGGGCCACACGTCTGTTCCCCACAGGGGATGGCAGCATCCCGGGAGGTCCCCGAGCCCAGGCTGTCCTCTTCCTTCTCTTTCTGGGCCTCCTCCTCCTTTTCCTTCTCCACCTTCTCCTCCTCCTCTTCCTCCACTCGGGTCCTTTCCTCCTCCTCCTCTTCCTTTTCCACTTCTTCCTCCTCTGCTCTCTCCTCCTTCCTGTCCTCCTCCCTCTCCACCTTCTCCTCCTGACTGCCCTGCTCCCCAGCTCCCTGGGAGTCCAGGCCTTCGAGGTCCAGGACGGTGGGGGGGGCGTCCCCTGTGATACAGTGTTTCCTTTGCCTTCGAGGACCCACCCTTGGGCTTGGAACCTGGGCTCTGATGTCCTCTGCAGGGAGCATCACAGAGCCCAGGCGACGGCGGCGGCAGCGCTCAGGAGGAGGAAAGGCAAGAGAGAGGTCCGTGAAGGCCTCCTCCCGGGAGGAGACATTGAGGCAGCAGAGACAGCATATCCGAGTCACGATCTTGCCTCCAAACATTTTCTCCACAGAGGTTGAACTTGGACTAGGGGGCTCGTCAGGCGGGGAGGGAGAGCTGGATTGTTTGAGCTTTTGGCAGATCCTTGTCCCAGTTTTCTCCTCTTCGTGCAGCCTAGAACAGGGAACGCAGGGTCTGCGTCCATACGTGCAGGTCCTCCTCCCGTGCACTCGCCCCACTCATGCCCGTCTGCCGTACTCAGACACCTACCCATGCGGAAGTCTGCATGGGGAATACACACACGTGTACAAAATGGCATGCCAACGCATCCGTGCACGGGCCCTCACACAGCCAGCACACGTGCTACACTCACCCACATGCAGGCGCACACACGAGGTACACAAAGACAGGCCGTGTCCCCAGGACAGTGATGAGGATGCATTCAACAGAGTGACCAGTTCGGCATCTCCAAACTTCCCTCACACTCAGTCCTCACACTCACGGCACACCCCTTCTCTAAGCCTTCCACAAGGTCAAGGCAGCACTCCTAGTTCCGGGAAGACGCAACACAGCTCAGAGGCATGGGGCTTGCACCCTCTCCAGACCTGGCCCCCCTTACCGATCCAGCAGGTATTTCAGGTACTCTGAGCAGTCCTGCTGGGTGCCAGGGCTGAACCAGGGTGTCCAGGACGCAGAGAGGAAGTTCTCTGGGGAAATGGCAGGCCGCTAGGACAAGGCAGGCAAGAGACAGGGTCAAGAGTGGGCCGACCAGTTCTGCACCTGTTAGGCCTGAGGGTCTTCCTGGGACCCCCTTCCTCACTCCCTGGCCCCCTCCCTGACGTCCTCCCCCATCGTCCTGACCCATGCCATCCCACACATCCCGAGCAGGGCGCTGGGTTCACGGAGATGAACAATCCTCTAGGAATCTGCCCTTCCCTGACACACCTCATACTTTTTCTGCCTAAAACATCCCTCTCCCCTGTCCAGATGAGTTCCAGATGCAGTGTCACCTCCACGATGTCTTCCCACTGTCCCTTTCCCTCCCCTGCATGTTCACAACATGCTGCATTTCCCTCTGTTGAAGCACAATGGTGGTCACCTGTAGGTCTGTCTTCCCCAGACTATGGGCTCCATGAGCCAGGGACCACGGCTTACTCATCTCTGGGCCCCCCACAGGGCCTTGCATAACCCATGGCCAAAGGCTTTAGGTTCCATGAGGGCACAGACCATATTTATTTTGTTCCCTACTGTAGCCTCATTAGCCTTCAGGGTGCCTGGTGATATGGGTGCTCAAAAGTGACAGTAAAGCCAGGTGCAGTGGCTCCTGCCTATAATCCCAGCACTTTGGAAGGCTGAGGAGGGAAGATCACTTGAGCGCAGGCATTTGAGTCTAGCCTGTAGGCTGGGCAACACAGCAAGACTCTGTTTCTACAAATTAGCCAGGTGTGGTGGTGTGTGCCTATCCCAGCTACCTGGAGAGCTGGGGCAGGAGGATCTCTTGACCCCAGGAGTTCAAGGTTACAGTGAGCTATGATCACACCACTGCACTCCAGCCTGGGTGACAGAGTAAGACCCTGTCACTAAAGAAATAATAAATTTTTAAAAGTTACAGATGAAGCAACATCCTTCATGGTTAGACAGTGTCCCCCAAAAAGAAAAAGCAAGTGCTGGAAACTTCATCCCCAATACAACAGTGTTGAGACGTGGGGCCTTTAAGAGGTGACTAGGTCATGAGGGCTTTGCCCTCAAGAATGCATTTCATGCCATGTTGCAACAGTGGGTCTGTTATTGTGGGAGTGGATTCCTGATAAAGGGATGAGTCTGGTCCCCTTTCCTCTCTCTCGTGTGCGCTCTCACCGTGTGATGCCCTCAGCCATGTCATCATGCAGCAAGAAGGCCCCCACCAGATGCAACCCCTCGATCTTCAGCTTCCCAGCCCCCAGAACTATGAGAGAGTAATTTTTCTTTAAAAATTACTCAGACTCCGGTATTCTGTTACAGCAGCACCAAAAACACCAAGACACAACACCTTAATGCCACAGAATGAATCACAGCACAGAACGGGGCTCAAGGGGCCCTCCCTCCCTTGCCCAGTAGGGTCACTGAATTGGCCCCATGGGCTTTGGCTGTGAACCTGTGCCAGCCCAGTCTGGGGCTCGCAGGCTACTCCACGAAGTGGGAGATCATAGCCAGATGCAGGCAGGTCCTGGGGAAGGGAAGGGTGTCAGTGCAGGGGCCTGACCTCCTCTCTGCCATGTCCCCTGTTCCCCCTGCACTCACCTGGCTGTGCTCCAGGAAGGCAAAGAGCCACTGCAGCTTGGTCATCAAGGGCTGTGAGTTGTTCTCAGTCAAACGGAGGACGCAGTGTCTGAAGCTTCAAGACAAAGCATGAGCACCCAGGGTAAGCCACGAGCACCCAGGGAACCTCTGTTTTTCACCCATATTGCAGGCAACCCAGAGCTGCCTGGCCAGAGGCAGAACAGACAGATATTTCTAGCTCAAGCTGAGGCCAGATGCTGGGAAGGAAGAGCTGGTAAACAACTCAACCTGGAGTGTCTGCAGTCAGGAACACAGCAGTGCCATATTTTAGACAATAAAAGGTACAACAAGGTAATTCCTGCAGTCCCTTCCAGCTCTGATGCTCTATAACTCGAGGACTGAAAGATTCAAATGGCCTGAGGTCCTGTGGTCCCAGGGTTCTAAGGCTGGGACTCTCTTACATGCCGCAGAGTCTGTGCCGTCATCATCCCCAGCAGCCACTCACACACCCTTCCCCCTGCTTCCGTGGGAAAGCTGGTCACACCCATCCACAGCAGCAAGCTTTGTTCCAACCTGGGCCCTCCAATGTACTCCTACCCTCCCTGCCCCTAGAGCACCTTGAGTTACTCCCTTGCCTTCAACTGAGGCATCAGCTCCTAGTGACAGGGGTCTGATCCTGTGAGAGACAGGCCCTCCCAACATACACACTCCCTGGAACGAGCTAATTCCCAGACCCTGCTTAGCTTCTGTTCTCACAGTAGCTCTGGACAGATCAGGCATGCACTTCTCCAAACAGCCCACTGCACAGAACAGCACTACTCAAAGTGTGATCCTCTTAGCTGGCCTAAGACAAGGTAAGTTCAGAAATTGAGTGAGCATTTAGAAACTTGTATAGCATTTCAACATTACTACAACCACAGAAGCACACTATCATTTTTCTAGTAAGTCATTTTCTTGTTATTTTATAAAAGCAATAGGCTGCAGCAGACTGGAAGTTAGAAAACAAAACTATTCCTCCACCAGGCATTTTGAGAACAAGTAGCAGCACCTTAGGAAGTCTTGGAGATCAACTCCAACCTCCTCCTACTGAACCTGAGGCTCAGAGAGAAGAAACCACATCGTAAGCCATGACCAGAGCTCACCCTATAAGCCAGAATCAAAGCTTATTTTCACTGAATCAAAGCCGAAACTTTGACTTTTAAGCAACCAAGCCATAAGGCAGATCGGTAGGAATAGACAATGAAGACTTTGTTCCACTTTTAAAAAGATGTCTAATACGAGGTTGGGTGGGGGTTCTACTGTGGAAGACAGAGTCCACTCCCATGGACTCGGAGAAAAGTCAGTGATGTCAACTAACCCAGAGCAGACCCACTTCCACTGCAGCCCAGCCCTGATCTTACGTTCCCACCCAGTCTTGACCTACTCCCGTGGCAAAGGCCCAAGGCCCTCTGTACCCACAGACCTCAGGGCATCAGGCCAGCTACGCAAAGCACAGCCCACTCTCTCTGACCCCCATCCCAACACCTGTCCACCTTTCACCAGGGAGCCCAGAGGAGAGAATCAAGGACAGATGTGGAATTCAAAAGCAGCACCTACTCAGAAGCCATGAACAAGGCCTGAAGGATGCTGTTCACGTAGCACGTGTTTCCCAGATTGATTAAACCAATCTTGCCCGTGTCTGACTTGGCCATGAGCCGGGGGTAGAAGCCAGCCAGCTCGCTCTTCTGTGAGGTCCAGGCATCCTGCCCCAGCAGCTGTTTGATGCGGTCCTCATTGGGAACATGGAGGTCCTGAGGGGGGAACACAGAGGCAGGATGATGGGCACCAGGGTCAGCTTGAAAAATAGCACCTCCCCTGGGAGGCCTCTTGGGCTGCAGCCAAGCCCACAGCCTCCCAAGCACACTGCCCCGCACGTGTTCAAGAGATGCTTACACACTCACTCGAGCTTCTCATCTTCACATGTGGGACTTCTCCATGACCTTTTGGGTCACAACTGCCTTAAGATGATACAATCCCCATTTCATAGATGAAAAAACTAAGATTCAAATAGAGAAAGGATTGGTCCAGGGTCATATAGGCAGTAAGCGAAGAATCTGTATGTTCTTAGAAGAGCCCAGGCTATGACAGACTCTAAGCAGTGACAACCCTGGCCCACTAGCCAAATCCAGTGTTGTCAAGATGTCAACATGAGCCCTGACTCTGGTCCACCCGAGTAGTCTGGCCAGGACAGTGAGCCTCTCTGACTCAGTGAGTGAACCTCCTTGGGCCTCGGTTTCCTTATCAAGTGAGGACACTCCTATCCTCTATCAGTTTAGCATTCTATATTTGATAGAACAGATGGATAGAACAGTGATGTTCCTGTTTTCACCTTCTACTTTTAGATTTTTGCAGAATCAGCTTTCAGGGGAATTAGTCAGCCCCCTGGAACTTGACCCTACAGTCGAGATGGCAGGAGGGTCCTGGGGGTCTGAGGTACAGGTCCTTGGACATTAGCATGATTCCCCACTCGCTATCTTGTGTCACGTTAAACAGCTGCACCTAGAAGAATATTACCAAGCAATAGTTCTAATAATGATATATTTTAAAGAGAAACATCTAGGCACAATGTAGTGTTACTTAACAAATTTAAGCAACATTCCTAACAGTTCTCTAGCCGTCTTATTTCCAGATCCTGAGCACAATGCCCTGGGTTTGTCCAAGGCTCCGCAGGGCTTCACACCGGCTTAGCATCCAAAGCCCGTCTCCCAGCACGTGCCCTGTGGCTACCGTGGAAGGTCTCCCACGAGCAGGGGTTTAACACTTGCTTACTCATTTTCCAGGATCATTTATCAGATTCGTCAGTCACCTCTCACAGGGGATAAAAACAAAACCAAGGAGGTGCCCGGGGGAGACAGGATGATACAGGCTCAGTATCTTAGTCCCTTCCCTTTCTTCCTATTATGCCCCATCTCATCCACCCCACACACCATGAACAAATAAGGACAAAAAGGCAGACAGACAGAATCCCCAAACCCAGCATGCACACACAGAAAAGATGCAAAAATATCCACATGAGAAAAAAACCATCAAATGCTCCTTTTCCCAAAGAAGGTAATTTTGTATTGTCAGGAAAATAAAATCTCCCAAATAACTCTCAAGCTCCCAGTGTTGTTGAAAATTGACATACAACGGCTCCCTTAGCATGTACCACAGCTCCCAGAGAAACGGCCATAACCTGATACATCTGCCTAAGTCAGAGAACCTTCCAGAACTTATTTACAAAGGCACATGTATACAAAAGGATGTACTCACAGAATACATGTGAAAGAATTTTATAAATAAAACCCAGTTGCTGCCTTGCCTCTCAAACTGACTCGTACCAAGGAGCAGTCAAAGGCACAAGGGCAAATGTAGCACGTCTTCCTGGAGCTACATTCTTTAAAGACATTCGGTGAAGAAAAAACTATAAACAAATGTTTACAGCTATGAAGCATATACTTGAGTCTTCAAGATAAAGTGAGACTGTAGAGTCACTCTGAGCTCCCCTCAGGCTGCTCTGGGTAAGCCCCTGCCTCCGACGTCAAGTACTTCGTCTTCGTAGGAAACGTTTGAGAAGCCCCGATCGGCCGGATTAAGCAGCGACTCGGCCTGGTTTTCAGGCACTGCACTCTGATCTTCCCGGTCCCCCTTCCGCCGACACGTTAACGCCGAACTGACGTCTCACTCTGTGCCTTTCCCCCCGACTCAGCTAGAGTATCCTCCTCTTGCCGGTTTCCACCTGTCAAGGTCTAACTGCTACATGCCCTCTCTATGAAGCTTTCTAGGACCTTCTCAAGTGGGGTCCCCTATGCCGTGTGTGCCTGTAATAAAGCCTAACTCCCTGCACCTGCTGGTCCAGGTATCGCAGACTCACCTTGCCCCCTGGATCAGACCATCCATCGCACCTAGTGTGCAAAGCCTGGGTCTCCCTCGGTGCCCAGGGCAGGGCCACGCTCCCTGCTCTTTGGCCACACCCACATTACAGCGTTCTCCACGCTGCAGTCGCACTGCGACGACAGTCTGTTCACTCACTCACAGACACCTACTGGGCACAGAGGACATGGTCCCTGCCCACCGGAAGCTCACAATCTAGCAGGAGACAGAGAGTAAGTCACGGGGTCTCAGAGCTCTTGATGTGCCTCCCTTCCGACGCCGATAACCTCGGGCAACACGCCCAACACGTGGAAGTCACGGTTGCCCTGCCCGTCCACCTCCAGCACAGCTCCTTCCCCTGTAGATACGCTCGAGTAAGAATTCTTTCTCGTGGTAAGTCTGAAAAACTGAGAATCTCCAAGTAAATGCCCAAGGTTCTGTTTGCTTTATCTACCAACTCCCATTCACAGTGGGTTGTCCCTTTGTATGTTTCGTAATTTGGGGATCACAAACTCATTCAGTAGAACTTTATCTTCATGGTTTGATTTATTTCTGTTTCTACCAGGCTACCTTGGGCATCACAAGTTTATGACTACTTTTAATGTTAGTTCTGAGCTTGGGGGTCCCACAACCCCAGAGATGATACGAATTTGAACCCCTCAACCCACATGGGAACAGGCCTCTGATTACATTTTCCCCCAATCCAGGGCCCAGACCAAGCCAGAAAAGTTCCCTTGATGTCTATCTGAGACCATGTATATAATTTTTCGAGATCACTCTTTTGCTAACAGTAAAGCCCTTCCTGGGTCCTGGCTTGCAGTGGGCTTCTTAGTGCCGACTCCCTACTGAGGACAGGCCCTAAGCCTCATCCTGTCCCCACCAGCTCAAGCGCCTTGGTGACTGAAGTTGGCCATCTCTTCCTGCCCGACCCCAGGGGAAAAGACCATCCTTTCTCACTTACTGTTCTGGAATTCAGGTCTCTATGGCCCCTGGGGATTCCCCGTACTTTCTTGTAAGCTCAACTGTGAACTTACATTGATGTTATATCTTAACAAGCGTCTCTAGATGTGTCGTAGTGGGACACTTTTCAGGTTATCTAGTCTGCTGTGCTGCAGAAGTGACAGTCTAGACATCTTCACCCCCGCTCGGACCTGCCTTCCGTATCAAGCGCTGAGGAAGGGCCTGGCGTCCAGGGCCCTGGCTACGTCTCTCACTACCTCCGTGACTCTGCACGCACGCCACCAAACCTTTACAAACCTCCTTCCTCATGTTTGAGATTGAAAGAACAATACCTGCTTCATAGGTTTCTGAGCATCAGAAGGCAAAATATATGAGAAAACGGTGACAAACGCGGCGGTACCTACAGATGTCACCGTCAGACCCTAGCAACCTGTCAAGCCCAGCTTAGAAACCCTTTCTTCTTTGAAGCCTCCTTCTCTAACTGGAGATCTTTCCCTGCTCTGGCTCCTCACTGGTCTCGGGCCAACCCCCTGAGATATTTGCATGGCTGCTTAGCCCAGAGTTTCGCATACGCAGGCCTATCACTCCCACTCGGCTTCACGCTCCTCAGTGGAGGCGGCTTGGTCTGCTTCACGCCTGTGTGCCCAGTTCCCAGCCCAGGCTTGGCATAGAGTAGGGCACCAGGAAAGTCACGTAAACAAGTGTAGATAATCCCTGCTCCGGAGCGCTCACAGTCTGGTCGGGGAGACAGACACGGACAGTGACATGTGACACAGGGATGCACCAGGGCTATGGGCACCCAGAGAGTCCTGACCCAGCCTGGAGTGGGGCAGGGGAGATCGACAGTTATCAGGGAAGGCTACCTGAGGGAGGTAACACTTGAGCAGAGCCTTAAAGGACAAGTAGGAACAATCGAGGCAGAACAGAGTTTACAGTTGGAGAGAACAGCATATGCAAAGGCTCAGAGCAGTCACAAGCGAGGATGACCCATCAGGGAACGGCGGGCAGCTCAGTGTGCTTAAAGCACACGATGGACTGGGGAGGTGACGGGAGCCAGCCAGGGGCCAAATGATGGGGGTGCTGCCACCAAGCCACGGTATGGCCTTGAGGAAGGCCCAAACTGGCATCTTTGTCAGAGTGGGGTGAGGGACAAGTAGGGGACTGCCACTCACCTTGATGGCCTCCATGACAGGCTCATACAGATCCGGGAAGCCCGGGAACCGGAACACCATGCAATGGACCAGCTCTGCCAGCTGCTCCAGGCAGCTGGTCCCCGAGTTCGAGTCCTCCTTGAGCAGAGAGGCCACCATGGGGGGGATGTGAGGGAGGAGCTGTGGGAACAGAGCTGGGTTAGGCTCGGCCCCACTGACCCACCCGAGACACGGATCGGGGTCGCTGCTGAAAGCACCCAGAGCTCTCCGGGACAGGGAGGGCTGCCCACCCGACCACTGTCCCCTTACTCAGATGAGGCTCTGTGCTCTGCAGGCAGGTGACTCCTTTCACCAGACATGTGAACTAAGACACCCTGCCTCAGTTTTATCATCTGTAAAACAGGACAAATAATACCCTCCTCATAGCTGAGGCGAGGCCTGAGCCCAAGCCCCGGCTGTTTCGCCTCAGCTAGCGGACCTGCCCCGGGGACCTGAAGACCTGCGCGCCCAGCCAGGTCTGACGGGGGCACAATCCAGCCAGCTGGGTAGGCCCTGGCAGAGCAGGCGCGGCAGCCTGTAGGGGCAAACATCATTCCTCCAGAAAAATCGCCACGTCAAGCACTTCATCCTTACAACTGTATGCAGCAGCAGCTATTTCTCCCTTTTTATAGATGAAGAAGTTGAAGTCAGAGAGGTTACACAGCCTGTCCAGGGTTTCACCCTAGGTTATGAGAAAAGCTGGTGTCTGGAGCAAGTCTGTCTGACCAAAGCCCGATTCTTTCCCCTGTGCTATGCAGTTTTAACCATCCAACCCAGAGGTGCTACACCATGACATGGTGACAGAGTCAGGCCACGGGAACCGGGAGCAGGACAGAAGGAAACAAATATGAGTCAAGCCCCTGGTATGTGGCAGGCTCCTGACAAATACCACCTCATCTAATCCCCTCCAACCATCCTAGGAGTTTACCCCCGTTCCAGGCTCTGAGGCCAAGTGCCCAGCCCAGGTCACTACATCTGGCAAACGGCAGAGCTGGGACTCCCCCCAAGTACGCCAATCCCCGACTGTGAGCTTCTCCCACTGCGACAAGTTGGGAGGCGTGACGTTTCACTGCCCTGACCAGGGACCACCAGAATCTAGGGCCCCATCTGCAGGTCCCAGGGACAGTAAGGGTGAGGAGGGCAGCCCCCAGGGCCTCAGGCTGTCCTCTCAAGGGAGGGCCCCAAGGACAGCAAACTGGGCCCTGAGCTAGAGGCCAGGCCACCGGTACTACAGCAGGGTGTAGGAAGGACACTGGGTTAGGAGTCAGGCCAGCTCAGCTTGAATTTTCACTGTATCACTCGCCAGCTGTGTGTCCGGAATAAGTGACTTAACTCCCTAAACTGCAGTTTCTTCATCTGAAAAATGGAGAATATGACAGAACCTCTGTCCCAGGCTGTTTCAGGGGTTAAGTGAACAAACATACGTGCTGTCCTTAGCACTGTGCCTGGCACACAGCTAGCCCCAAGGAACATTAGGTGACATCATTCTAGGCTCTATCGCTATACTATGTGCCCCAGAGGAAGCCACACAAATTCTCTGGCCCCAGTTTCTTATCTGTATGGAGGGGTCTCAGGCCTTTTCCAGTCCTAACAACAGGGCTTCAAGGTCATGGGCCTCAAGCCCCAACCCCTTTTCCCCTCCAACAGAGACAGCACATCTGGCCACCCAGACGTCCCTTACCAGGTGGAAGGCCTCATGGGAGTGCTGGAAAGTCAGGAGCATGTACTTGAGGACAGACAAGGCAGCTCCCCGGACAATAGGGTACAGCAGCTTGGAGAAAACCTGAAAGAGAGTCCCCAGTCAGGAGTCCCGCAGGCCTGGCTGCCTGCGGCCAAGTACGGTCACAGGCCTGAGGGGGTCAGGGACACGCTAGAGCTGAAGCAGCAAACCCACCCAGGAGCAAGAACATGGAGGAGCTCACAGACGTCAGTGGAAGATAGATATCTGATGGATGGATGGACAGACCGAAAGTGACAAAGATGCACATGCTTGAATGAGCAGTCAGAGGAATGAATGAGGGGATCTGAGGCCCAGAGAGGGGCTGTGAATTAGCCCAGTTCAAACAGTGAGCTTGGGCAGGAGGCCCGGTGCTCTGCCTCCCAGGCCTGCACCACCCCGGCAAGAGACTATCAGGAAAGGCCATAAGCCCAGGCTAGGACAGGGGCACCCACCTTCTCAATTTTGGCAAGCGAAACCTCGATCAAGATGCTGAACTTCTTAACAGCAGCCAGGCCCTTCAGCAGTGCAATGATCCACTTGTCAATGTTCTTCCCAAGGGGCCAGGAAACCCAATCAATCATCCTGGTGAGGGAAATGACAGTGACACAGGGACAAGGGAGGCCCAGATGCCTGGGTGAGGGCAGCCATAATGTCCTGAGTTCCCACATTGACTCACACCTGCGCAGGACAGCCCTGAATCTGTGGGATGAACAAGACACCTCTGGGAAATGCAAATGAGCCCAGCACAGACACTTGCCAGAGACTGAGGCTCACAGCCCACCAGGGAGGGAGCCAGGCCCTCTCAGCACCCCAAACCTCACCCCTCCACACTGCACTGCAGTGGCAGAGCGGGGCTTTCAGCTGCCTCTGCCTGGAAGAGCACTGCCCCTGGGCCAGAAGCTCTGGCTCTAGCAAGCCCTTGCTCTGTGACCTGGCGCAAGCCACTTCCCTCTTCTGAGCCTCAGTTTCCTCCTCTGTAAAATGGGGATAATCGCTCCCTCGTAGGGTTCTTATACAGATTAAAAGAGATAACAGCTGACATTTAGGGAGTATCCCCCCTGCACCAAGCACTGTTCTATCAGCTTCACATGCACTGACTCCTCTGATCCCCAACACACACTGCCTGAGTGGATTGAGCATGCAGCTGCCACGTAGTAGGTGCTCAGGAAAACATAATTATTACGAATGTTATACTACGCTATAAAGAGGGAGAACAGTGAGAGAACAAAGTAATGATAACAGTAACTTCCATGGCACTGTTCTAGGCACTTTATATGTATCATCTCATTTTATCCAATTTAATCCTCACAACCCTATATGATGGGTTCAATTACATTCCACTTTATAGTTGAGGAAATTGAAGTATTGAGAGGTTGAGTAACTTGCCCAAAGTCACACAGGCAAGAAGCAGTAGAGGCAGGATTTGACCTCAGGCAACTTACCTCTAGAGCCCACACTCTTACCCACTAAAGACAAGGAATCCAGGAAGGCCCCACGGAGACGGTGGAGCTGCACACGGGATGGGAAGAGAGGCAGAGGGAGGCATGCCGGGTGGACGGGGTCGGCACAGGCCAAGGCCTGCAGGGAGGAGGGGAGGCGGCGTGATCTGGGATCACCAGACAGGCAGGTGCGGCCAGAGCACAGGTATGACGATGCTCAGATGAGGTGGGATGTGCGAGGGCTCTGGGAGCTGAAAAGCACCCAAACTCTGCTTACTGAAGTCGTCAGACTCACAAAGCGCATCATAAAGTCCTCTTGCCTTCTCATCCAGCCCCACAGAAGCCTAACAACTTCCCATACACCACCTGCCTCCGCTTTTACAGAGGGGGAAACTGAGGCTGAGAGTTCACTGGCAAGTCCAGGGTCACAAAGCCGGTACCTAGCCCGATAGCATCACTAGGGCAGGCCTCTCTGTGGCCCCTACATCCGGCCCAGGCCCAGAGCAGACCTCAGGAAAGGATGGACGGCTGCCTGGGCCCTCTGACACTAATCTAGCCCCGCATGCCCACCCAGTGGAAGGGGCTTCTGGGAGAAGACAGGAAGGGGCCCTCGGCACCCCACCTGCTGATGGCAGTCAGCATCTGGGAGTCCGTCACACTGTCATCATTGCTGAGGTTCCGGACAACACCGTCCATGAGTTCCAATGGGAGGTGCTGGACCACACTGGCCAGGGCGCTAGACGGCGGCTCCTCCTCTGGAACAGGGGGCTGGGCTGAGCTTGGCAGGGCACGCGGGTCCCTCCCCTCCCTCACCACCGCATGCCCTTGTGCTGCCAAGCAACTAGGCTGGGCCTCTGCGAAGAGCACAGCAGGGCCACCCCCTCTCCTAAGCACCACAGCCTCCGATTCCACGTTAACTCATTCACTCAATGAACCTTCACTAGTACTGCTGTGGGCTCAGTCCTGCAGCACTGACCTCCGCCTGTGGGCGTACAGGCAAGGACTGTAGAAGGGGCAACGCCGGGGCTAGCCAGAAAACGTAGGAGGGGTGTGTGCACTGCGGGGGAGGGGACACTCCAGGTGGTCCCACATAGACAGGGGTCTAGGTGGGAAAGCACATTTAGTTAGCGAAATTTGTTGTCCACTGGTATAAGGACCCAAGTCCTTACACACACAGCCCGGGTTCTCCACCCTGCCAAGTGCATTCCCTTTCTTTCCCCTGTTCAACCCCTATGGGCGGGGAAGGCACAGGTCCTACGTCAGCCATTTACCCTATAGTCCAAGTTCCGCCGTTTTCAATGGAGGGGCAAGATTTTACGTTTCAGGGTTAACACCTGCAGACTGCATAGGCCTCCAGACCTTCACCTGTGCCCGCTCAGAGAACGTCGGCCCTGCTGCCAGGTGCCACCGATCTCTCAAGACCTGGCTCAAAAATGACTTCTATCAAACCCGCTAGCCCCCCAAATCCTGCTGGCTGCACAACCCCACTGTTCCTCCCTCTGGCCAGATTGCTCCGTGTCCTTCTCCCACCCCAGACAATGTGCTCGTCCCTGCATTTCCAGCGCCCTTTCCGGGAGAGGACCCGCAGCAGGCGCTCAGGATAGGTCTGCTAACTCCAAGAAGGAACACTGCAGTTCCCCCCGTGCATTCGCCCCTTGCCCACACCTGCCACAGCACTAGGCGGGCACTCGCACGCAGAGAATCCGCACGTACAGACAGCCACCTGCCCAGGAGACCCTCCAGGCCCTCGGCGTCCCGTGCTCCCGCCCCAGCCCCACCCGCCCACGCACCTGTGCACGAGATGACTGCAAACAGCTCTTTGAGGCAGGGCAGGATGGCGGCGGGCTGCGTGCGCCACAGCTGCGCCAGGAGCCCGCTCACCTGCTGGGCCTGCTCCAGGAACTCCACCGCGCCCTCCTCGCCCTCGGCCGGGCAGCGGAAGCGACCAAGGCAGCGCACTAGCTGCTGGCAGAAGAGCAGGCGGTGTGGGCCGTCGGGCACACAGCGCGGGTGCCGTGCCAGCAGCCGTGCCACCTGCGCGCAGGCCGCGGGCCCCGGGCGCTCGCACACGGTGCGCAGCACCTCGCGGCGCAGCAGCGCGAACACCTCGTCGGCCGCCGTCCCCTCGGGCAGCAGCTGCAGGCCCAGCTGCACGCAGGCGAGCGCGCGGGCGCCCGGGGGCCCGGCTCCGCCCTGCAGCAGGCGCAGCACGCGGCGCGCGCTGAAGAACTCGGCGAAGACGTCGGGGTGGTGGCGGCCCGCCACGTGCAGCAGCTGGCAGCCCACGCGGCGCGGCAGCTCGTCGGCGCCGCCCACGTAGAGCCGCGCGCCCAGCGCCAGCAGCGCCAGGCACTGCTCCCGCTCCAGCGGCTGCCGCGCCGCCTCCAGCACGCGCCGCACCAGCCCTTGCTTCACGCTGGCCGGGTACGACGACGTCACCACCGCCTCCAAGATCTTGTCCATGGCGCCCGCTGTGGAGACAGGGAGTGCGGTCATACTCTGCCCGACAGTTCTGTGGCTCGAGTTGCCCGGGTATTTCCCCGAGTGCTGAGACCTTGGCCGAGCAACTCAACCGTTCTGGGCCTCAGTTCTGTCATCTGCGAAATGGAGCAAGGACGCCCACCCCATGGGAGACATCCTGATGAAGTAAAGCTCGACAGCTGGCACATAGTTGTAGCTATTGCAGCTAAGTAATGGCACATAGGCTACGTGAGCCTCCCCACCCTCACTCCTTTGCTTCTCTCCCCAGGCCTCCCTGGTGACCTCACCCACTCTTGGGGCAGGTAGGAGCTGGATCTAGAAACTGCTGTCCAGAGTCTTAGCCAAGTCACATCCATGGGAGAGATGAGATGAGGCATACACAAAAAAGTCACACATCCAGGGAGGACGGGTGCAGGCCCCCAGGGACAGCCAACAGGGCTTCCCGTCATCCCTAGCACTTTATTCTGCTCCCACTCCTGGCCTTTCCCAAATGACCTGCACCTTTGCAAGACTCCACTTCGTTGTGAGTGCCAGCTTTCTGCCTGACTCATCCCATCTCCGGAGCCCCGGCCCCACTCTCCCTCCACGAGGAAGACTCCTACTTTCCTTGAAAGCCCTAAAGCACCTGTTCTCGCTGAGAACACGCCTCGTCCTCCAGGCCTGAATCCATCTACCCTCAATTCCAACAACCACCTGCAGCAATTCCTCCGTTACAGCTAGGATGACTTAGTCCTGGGTTAGTATGGGTCCCCGTCCTCTCTCTGTGCCCAGCCCTGCCACCAGGCCTGGCTCCACAGTCCTGCACACCTAGGGCCCTGCCTCTGACTCCAGCGTCAGCCCACAGCACCCCTCGCTCTCGGCTAAGTGCCCTCTGCCCTGGGCCTTTGTGTACGTACTTCCCTCCCCTTCAGACCAGGAAGCCTCCCCATCTGGGTCCAATTCCCTAGTTAAAAAGTTAGGGCCGGGCGCGGTGGCTCACGCCTGTAATCCTAGCACTCTGGGAGGCCGAGGCGGGAGGATTGTTTGAGCTCAGGAGTTGAGACCAGCCTGAGCAAGAGCGAGACCCCGTCTCTACTATAAATAGAAAGAAATTAGCCGGGCATGGTGGCGCGTGCCTGTAGTCCCAGCTACACGGAGGCTGAGGCAGGAGGATCGCTTGAGCCCAGGAGTTTGAGGTTGCTGTGAGCTAGGCTGACGCCACAGCACTCTAGCCCAGGCAAGAGAGTGAGACTTTTTTTCAAAAAAAAAAAAAAAAAAAGTTAGAATATCCTGTCTGTCTCCTTTGTAGCACTTACCATGATTACTTGATTGGGGTCAGCCTCCTCCACGATACTTTTTATCAGGGGTCACCAACCTATGGTGAGTTGTATGATTATTTCATTATATATTACAATGTAATAATATTAGAAATAAAGTGCACAATAAATATAATGTGCTTGAATTATCTCGAAACCATCCCCCTCCCTCCCCGTCCGTGGAAAAACTGTCTTCCATGAAAACAGTCCCTGGTGCCAAAAAGGCTGGGGACCGCTGCTCTATGTGGTTCCTGAGGGCAGGAACCATGTCAGGTTTTGTTCCCCACAGTATCCTCAGTGCCCAGTGCAGCACCTAGTGCACAGTGGGCATGTGTTGGATGAGCAAGTGCAGAGACCAGTGTGAGCCACCTCTACCTTATAACCTTCCTTCTGCCCTTCCCCTCCACCCGGGCTGTCTGCAGGAAGCCTCTGTCCCACGCTGACCCACTTCGACCCACTTCGCCCACTGATTCTCATGCTGGCTCACAAGGGTGCAGCTCACTCTCTTACACCTAACTCTCCCCTCCTAGAAGGCAGGGCCATTTCTTTGCTTCTTTGCATAATCCCACTCTAGGCAGGACCTGATACAAGGCTCAGGATATAGTAGGTGTTTAACTAAACTTACTGGCCTCAGAAAAACTATTCTTGAGACTTGGAGCTGATGTGAAGACAAACCAGAAATTTCCTGGATCATAGGGTTAGAAAAGTTTATTTGGAACCACAGATATTTTTGAACCCCAACTATGTGCCAGATAACCCCAAGTCTCAGATGCCACTCTGTCCTAGTTCTCAGCTGTGACCAAACCTCCATTACTGTATGTGTTAGGATGCCACGTGCCCATTTGTTTACGTTTCTCTCTCCAGGCTGTGAGCTCCTCTAGACAGGGACCAGAGCTTATTTGCCTGTGGCTGGCATCTTCCGTGGCAAGAGTGTGTGCCTCTTAAGAGTTAATTAAAACAAAGCATCATGAAGCAAACAAACAAAAAAACAAGAATGAAAACTGAAAGTTTACTGTGGTTAGAGGTAAACCCATGGCAGAACCACTGCCATGGGTTCCCAAATGGTTCCCAAATGCTGGCCTGGCTGCCTCAGCATCACCTGGGCATTTGTTAAAAATTCAGAGGTTCAGGGCCTGCCGCAACCTCCTGAGCTAGGAAGTAGGGGGCATGGTGTGTTAGACTCTGCTTTTTCACTCTCTGAGTGAAGCTTGTCTGGGACGCATTGTGGTTACCATAAAGGTTATTTATGTTCTCTAAGCCTCTGGTTTTCCACCTTGCAGGGTTGTGAAGGCAAATATTCATATAAAGTCCTTAGCATGGTGCCTCACACAAGGAAGTTCTCAGAAAATATCAATTTCTATTGCAAAGTCCTTGCCCTTAAGGAGCTTTCAGTCTGGTGGTGGAGACAGATAAGTCTGTAAAGAGAGCCAGTGCAAGGCACAACCCTTTTTTTTTTTTTTTTTTTTTTTTTTTTGAGACAGAGTCTCACTGTGTTGCCCGGGCTAGAGTGCCGTGGCGTCAGCCCAGCTCACAGCAACCTCAAACTCCTGGGCTCAAGCAATCCCCCTGCCTCAGCCTCCCGAGTAGCTGGGACTACAGGCATGCGCCACCATGCCCGGCTAATTTTTTCTAAATATTTTTAGTTGTCTGATTAATTTCTTTCTATTTTTTTTAGTAGAGACGAGGTCTCGCTCTTGCTCAGGCTGGTCTCAAACTCCTGAGCTCAAACAATCTGCCCGCCTCGGCCTCCCAGAGTCCTAGGATTACAGATGTGAGCCACCGCGCCCGGCCCCCCATTTTTTTTGAGACAGAGTCTCATTTCATTGCCCTGAGTAGAATGCCTAGCTCACAGCAACCTCAAACTCCTGGGCTCAAGCGATCCTCCTGCCTCAGCCTCCCGAGTAACTAAGTCTATAGGCATACACTACCACACCTGGCTAATCTTTATATTTTTAGTAGAGACAGGGGTCTCACTTTTGCTCAGGCTGGTCTCGAACTCCTGAGCTCAAGCGATCCTCTCGCTTTGGTCTCCCAGAGTGCTAGGATTATAGGCATGAGCCATTGCACCCAGCCGCAAGGCATAATCTCAAAAGGCCTTTAAAAGTGTCTTTAAAAACTGGTTAGAGATCGGTCTCTACTAAAAATAGAAAAAATTAGCTGGGTGGGGGTACGTGCCTATAGTCCCAGCTACTCGGGAGGCTGAGAGGCAGGAGGATTGCTTGAGCCCAGGAGTTTGAGGTTGCTGTGAGCTGTGATGATGGCACTGCACTCTACCCAGGGCAACAGAGAGAGACTGTCTCAAAGAAAAAAAAAAAAGCCTGGTCTCCCTTCAGCCCTGGTCCGCTCTTTCCTAGGCAGTGCCTGTGACAAGGCAGTTGCTATGGCTGTCCTCCCTTGCAGGAACAGGCCCTCCTCCCAGACCCCTGGGACAGCTTACCCTATAGGCTAGTGGATTCAATATGCTTTCAAGCCAGAATGCCAAGACATGCTGGCACTCAGGCACCTTAAGAGAAACCCTAAGCAATGAGGTGCTGGCATCATGCATGAAGGAAGAGGGCATGAGGGCAGGCAGAAGTGGAGTTCTGGGGCCAGGGAAGGCTTTGGAAATAGAAAGAAAATCAGACTAGGAATGAGGAGTCCCACATTCTAGCCAGCTTCTTGTGTGACCTTGAGTAAATCATATCCATGAGCCTCTTGTCTCTTCTGTAAAATGGGGATAAATGATATTAGACTGCACCACATGAAACTGAGTAATCAAATATTGACAATTTCATTCTACCTAATACTCATCAATAAGATGGGCTGTGCCTGGCTGCTGGGAGCTCAGTCAGTGGGGGCTCTGATCTCAGGGCCGGCCCTGCAGCCTCTGCTCTGGCCTGGCCATGCCAGGCAAGCCCTGCCCACTTGCCCCCACTCCCACGCAGGCAGTCTGAGGACAGCTTGTCACCATGGTCACCAACAAACCCACTCAATAATATCTTGGATGCATTCATGCAAAAGGGTTTTAGAGGCTTCCACCTCACCTGACCCCATCAGGCAGGCAGGATAAGGACTGCTAGCCCTACGCAAGAAAGGAGAAGCCGAGGCTCAGAGAGGGAGGGACGTGGCCTTGGCAGGGCAGGGTTAGAACCTGCACTGCGCCTCCCGCGGGCTGGCTGGATTACCCCACTAGGCCCCAGATGAGGAGATGGCCGGTTGATGCTGGCTCTGACCCAAGGGACAGCTGCCCCACACCAAACGCAGCAGCAAACAGCAGTCACGTCCTCCCTCAGAAGAGCCTGCTTTAAAAGCCTAAGACACAGGTTCTCTGCTTCTGAGTTACCAGGTGACCTTGGGTGAGTCCTTGCCTGGCTCCTCAGCCTTCCCATCTGGAAAATGGGGACTGATCTGGGCCTGCCATTCACAGAGTTGAGACCAGCTATAAAAAAGATGCGGGCTGTTCTTGGACCATCTGGCCCTGCTGGGAGAAACAGGGGCCAGGGGAAGAAGACAAAGAGATACACACTGCTGATCCAGCCGATCCTACAAAGCTTTTCCCCCATCAGCCCTCACCGCCCACTTGGCGTTTCCACCGTCTCTCCCTTGAGCTCCAGCCCCACCCGGGATCAGATCCCCTTGACTTCTTGCCTGAACTAGCACCGTGGCCTCCTGAGGCACCTCCTCATTCCCTCCCTCAATCCATCCCTCAATAGCAGCATGTGTCCTGGAGGAGAACAGAGTCCAGGCTTTGAATCTAGTCCGGCCACTACCCCTCATGATGGCCATAGCCATGGGGGCAGGTTCAGAGGCAGGTTCGAGCCTCTGAACCCTCAAGTGGAAGATGACTTCCTGCCCATCCCTTGGCCTTTCCCAGCCCGCGCTGCTGCTCCTCCCCAAGCCCTTGGCTTATGCCCCTCGACCTGCTGGCATGACAGCCTGGGAGTCCCAGCAACACCCAGCACACACCAGGGCACACAGTTAAGCACCCAAGAAAATCACAACCCCTTCCCCAGAAGGCCCAGATCCCTTTACCTGTCCATCAACATTTCTGCTATGTGTTGACAGACCTCTGTTCCTGCACGTGGAGCCTGACTTATCCCCGTCACCTCAAAGCACCCAGAGTGTGTGTGTGTGTGTGTGTGTGTGTGTGTGTGTGTGTGTGTATACGCGAGCGTGCGTGCACAACTCCAATGCTCGGCTCCACCACCGCACCCTGAGCCCCAACTCAGGCTTCATCATCCCCCCACGGTCTGTCCATCCCGTCCTACACCATCATCAGGTTAACCTTATTTCAAATAATGCTCCCTCCTGCTGTGCCCCTGCTCAGAACTGTCAAGGCTCCCCAGCCTCCTGGACCCAGGATAAGATCTAAACTCCTGAGCCTGACATCCAAGCCTGTTCTGTGACACTCAGCTAACATGGGGCAGGGGTGGAGATGAACTTAACCAACACTGTTTGGTAGGGACCCTACAGGAACTTGGGCAGTGGGCTTTTTCCCGATTGCCACTTGGTGTAACGTCCTCTCCGCTGGGAAAGGGCTTCTCCCTCTTCTCTCCTGGCAAATTCTGCCTCATCCTTCACTGCCCAGCTCACATGCCCCCTCCTCTGGGAAGTCTTTCCTTATCCCTCCACGATTCGAGTCTGAGCTCTGGCCTCCAAGGCCCTCTTAGCTATACTCATCCCTCCGCAGTGTAACAGGACTCCATGTCTCTCTCCCACCAGGCCAGCCCCTCCCTTGGTAGGAAGTAGGTCCAATCCTCCTGTCTGTGCCCAGTGCCCAGTACAGGACCAAGCACAGAGGTATCTGTGAAGGTGTGCCAAGTGACTGATGAGAGACATGTGACAGCAAGATGAGATAAAAACCAAAGATGTGACCAGAAAAGCACCTTCCTAACCTTTGGTCCAGTCACTGCCCTCTCCTCTGCCCAGGCCTGGTCTTGTAAATCCATAACCCAGAGATTCTTAAACATCAGCCAAAAAGTCCCTGCAGAGGTCACTGAACTGGACGGGGTGAGGCTTTAGCCATTCTAGAAATGATTTAAACAACCAGAGCAGAAGAAAAAGCAAAAACAAAACAAAAAATCTGTTCCTGGTTAGCCCTCATGTCAAAAGCTCACAGAATGGTCTAAGAGTTGGAGAGAGGCCTTCAAGAAGGTCTCCCTCCACCTCTCCCTACCCCAGGACAGAGCGGCCCCTCCCAGCCCCTGCTCATCACCAAAGAGTTGAGGAGCTCACTCCCTTTCCTCTCGGACCCTCATGCCCAGCCTCCCTCCTTTGACTTCCCCGGCTGCCAGAGCTGCTGGGGGTACCAGGCTGCCCCCCCACATCAGTAAGTGACCCCATCTCTGGCCCCTTGGGTCCCTGGGTAGCAGGATTTCTCTCTGTATTTTTTTAACTGAACTACAAAAGGCAGCCCTGGGAAGGAGCCCTTCACCCTTGTCTGGGCCACCAAACTGTCTCCTGGAAAGAAAGAAAAAAATGATTTTACTGGTAAAAAGCAACTGCTCTTCTACTGAAGGGGAATGAAGAGGGAGAAGGGAAGAAGGCAGGAGCAGCTTATTCCCTCCTCAGGAACCCACAACACTCACCCATCCCTGCAGGGGCCACCCCTCACAAAGCTCTGATGGCTGCGCCCCCACCCCCACACCTGGCTCTCTGGAAGGGAGGGCACCAAGCTGACACACTGGGGTCTCCAGTTTGCAGAGGCCATTATAGGTGGAGTATTCCAGGGCCGAGGATGCTGGGAATAGCAGAAGCCCATTCCGAGCAGTGGTGGCCTCTAGGCCCCTCAGTTTGTGCCCCACCTCGGCCCCCTTCCTGCCTCCAGCCCACTCTGGGTCTGGGGTCCCCCACAAAACGCCAGCAAGCTTCATGGTACTGGGCACGGGCACCCTCGCCCCTGAGGAGGGCGGGAACAGAATCACCTCGACACACAATTGATGAAGGAGAAGGCTGAGGCCCAGAGAGGGGTAGCTACTCGCCCAAGGTCACACAGCGAGGCCCAGGATGCACCCAGACCTCCAGATTCCCAGCCCTGGGCTCACGAGTCTGGGGTTCTCGAAATGCCAGGGTGCAGACCCCCCTACCCCTGCCCCAACACACACGCTCCCAGCCCCCTTACCTCCTGGACCCCAGTGGGCCCTGACTCAGAGCCGGCTCCTGGGCGGGGCGCTCAGGCCGGGCAGGACTAGGCTGGGCCGGGCTAGGTCAGGGCGGGTCTTCTGCTCCCCTCAGGTTGGGGACGCCCTCCGCCTGGTCCCAGACTGGAGGGATGCTGCTTCCACTGCAAAGTCCAATCTTCTCACCCTGCTCTGCATAAGCCTGTATGCACCCAGGGAGCCCGACTGTGCGACGCGGCCGCGGGGCTGCGGGGCTCCGGGACGAAGCGGGGGAGGGGCGAGGTGCGGGAAACGGGGCGGAGCCGTAGCGGGGGCCACCCCGCGAGCCGCCACTCGGACCGCGTCCCCTTTAAGGCCAGCCGGCCTGAGCGCCGGCAGGGGCAGGGCGGGGCGCCGGGCGGCTCGCCGCAGTGCGTCCTGGGAGATGGAGTTCGCGCTCCGGGGGCCGAGCCGCAAAGGGCCCAGGGAGAACTACAAGTCCCGGGACGCAGCGCGCGGGACGCGGGCCGCCACGCCCCTGGGCCGGGCTCCGGCACTCCCCCGCCTAGCACAGCTGCGCTGGCAGCCCGCGGAGGGGAGGCTGCAGAGCGAGGGCAGGAGGTGGGTGCGGCGCGGCCCGGGGCGCGGGGATCGGGGACTACCGGTGATGAGACGCGGGTCCATCTGCGCACCTGTCCTAGCATGAGAGGTCATCTCCCCAGCCTCGCCGTTCTCATCTGTGAAATGGGGTTGGCAACGCCTGCGGGGGAGGGGACCCGTTTCGTGGTGAGGGGAACCAGAGGGGGCAGAGCTATAAGAGGGGGGCGGAGCTGGTGGGAGGAGCCAGGGGGAACGGTGATGGAAAAGCCCGGATAATGAGGGTCGTGGGCTGTGGGAGGAGTCTTTGGTGGGTGGGGCAAGGAGGGGCGGAGTCTCTAGGTGAGAAGGGGGACGCGGGTCAGATCCCAGAAGGGGCTCAAGGGCTGGGGAGTGGGTGCCGAAAAGCCAACGAGGCAAGCCTGGGTTGGATTGGGAGAAGGGGCTGAAAAGCACTGGGGAAGGAAGGGCGGAGACACAAAGATGAAAGGGACCCCTCCCAGCTCCGGAGAGCCCTGGGTGGGTGGCGCCGTGGCGGTGTGGGCAGGGGTGCCCAAGTGAGCAAGGGCCTGTGGATGCACAGAACACTTTCCATTCCTTGTGATAGAAATAAAGAGCCTATCGCTTGAGCTCAGTGCGTCACATATATGATCTCATTCAGCTCTCACGCCCCGTAAAGGCGTCACCGTATGTGTTTACAGGTGAGGAACATGAGACTCAGAAAAGTGAAGTGACTTGCCCAAAACCACTCAGGACCCCTTGCTTCAAAGACTTTCCTTTTTTTCCCCCACTGCACTCAAGGGAGACAGGTTTAGTGTGGAGTGGATGGCAGGGAAGAAACCAAAGTTTTGATGCCCCGCCCTTCGCAGGTTGTCTGGCAGGACCAGTTCCCCCAACCCTTCCCAGTGCCAACCTATAAGGCAACCCTCCTGTGGTGTTGTGAGGATGAAGTGAGGAGATGGATTTGAAAGCCCATGTTTATAAATTATCATTCTTGGGAGGAACAGGAGGACAGTAGAAAGAAAGTAGTTGAAGTGGGGTGCTTGTGCCTGAGGAAAACCACAAGATGAAGCATGAGAGTGAGCTGACAGGGTGAAAGAAAACTGTGGAAGAGGATGGGGGATGGTGGTGGTTGTTGGGGGTTGCGCCAGGTGAAAGAATGCATTGCTGTGCAAGGAGGGAGGTCATGCCAGGTCCAGTGTTGTCCTTCCTCCAGCCCACCTTTCCTCTTTTGCCCCAATGGGCAGCTCAGTCCAGGGTCCGTGTGTGTCTGAGTGTAGGAAGTGTAGGAAGCAACTTTTCTCTCCTACTGTGTGGATGTGGTGGTAATGGAGCAGCCTATAGGCTTCTTGGAGATATGGACTGGGCAAGACAGGGTTAAAGATACAGCAGTTGGGTGTGGGGAGGTCAGGAGGGGGAGGGGAAGGACAGTGGCCTCTACATAGTCCTCTGGACTGTGAGCCAAAGAGCCCTTATGGTGGTGGGCTGATGTAGGTGGGGAAGTCTCCAGTTTACTGAAAGACACATTACTCGTGCTGAGCATAGTCCTCTTGAAATTTACCCAACCATGCTCTGTTCATCCTCCTACACAGTGGAAACTCTCCTTGCATTTACTTCCAGGTGATCACATGGGTCTTGCCCCAAGCCTTAGATTCTGAACTGAAAATTCAAGAGAGCGTTTTAAAATAAAAAGCTTTTAAAATGCAGAAGAGAGTGATAAATCTTCCTATTGGTAGATGACAGTCAGTCTGGGGTGGAGAAAATGGATCTGTCTAAACAGGGGAAGAAATTTTTTCCTCTTCCCCTATTCTGCCTGCTTCTATGGATATAGAGGGAGGCAATCCCAGCCCCAACAGAGAGGCCTGGCACCCATCTACTTAAGTAAAGTTGGCTGGGGTAAGCAGTGAGCATAAAGTGCTCTGGAGATGCACAGAAGGAAGGAAGGAATTTCAGCTGAGGGGCCTGGGAGATGAATGGGATTTTCCTTTGCAATCTAGGCAGAGGGGATGGCAGATGCCAAATTACAGAGGTAGGAGAGGACCTGGCATGGTTGGTCTATTAAGTAGGGATATAATAGTAGGGATATAATAGTATCTACTTCATCTATGAGATTAAAAGAGATTAACATGCCTAAAGTGCCTGGCACAGTAGTAGCTGCTCAATAAATATTAGCCATTATTATTACTGTTGTGGTGGTAGTTATTGTTAGGGTCATGATCATCTGCCCAGGAGTTGGCCTAGGACAGTACAGCTGGTAAGTGGCAGAGCATGATTCGATACAGGCTCAGGTAACACCAAACACCATGCACTGTCCTCTACCCCACACAGCCTCTCTCATGCCTTCTGCCCATTGCAACATTTCCGAGGCCCAGAAGTGGCCCCTATTTTTGAACATTCTCAGTGAGCCATGATGAGAGTTTCTTTCCTTCTGTGGTAGCAGAGACTCTGGGTTTGGAATGAGGCAGGAAAAAACAAGACCTGAACAACCATCTTCTCCCAGCCTGGATCCCAGCACAGAACACAAGCAGGCCCAGTGGTGTGGTCTCTCTGGGTGATGGGTGAGTCTGTCTATAGAGACCACCCAGGTGTAAATTCTAACCCCTCCACCAATTCTGTGAGCCATTTTTGCTTAGCCCTGGTTGGCATCCTAACCCTCTAAAAACTCAGTTGACAGTTGAAGAAGAAAATTATGAGCTTTCAGTGGCTTCTTAATAGCAGTAATCTGTAATTTATTGAGTCTGGCTATTTATTGGTCTGGCACTCTGACTGGAACTTTACATCTATGGTCCTATGTGAGGGAAGTGTTCTATTCTCCCTTCTTTCAAAATACAAATTTTTGCAAATCTTCAAGCCTACAGAAAAGTTTAAAGTAGCCCTTCACCTAGATGCATCAACTCATACTTTGTCAATTTTGCTTTACACACACACTTTTTTTTTTTGGCTGAAGTATTTCAGAGTTAGTTACAGATATCTTAACACTTGACCCCTAAATTCTTGAGCATGCATCTCCTAATAATGACATTCTCCTACATAAATCCATGGTCATACCTAAGAAAATTAGTAATAAGTCAGTATTACTTAATATGACCATTGTTATTCACATTTTTCCAGTTGCTCAAAAGTATTTTCTCTAGTTTTTGTTTTTTTTTTTTTTTTTTGAAACAGAGTCTCACTGTGTTGCCCGGGCTAGAGTGAGTGCCGTGGCGTCATCCTAGCTCACAGCAACCTCAAACTCCTGGGCTCAAACAATCCTTCTGCCTCAGCTTCCCGAGTAGCTGAGACTACAGGCATGTGCCACCATGCCCAGCTGATTTTTTCTATATATTTTTAGTTGTCCGATTAATTCCTTTCTATTTTTAGTAGAGATGGGGTCTCGCTCTTGCTCAGGCTGGTTTCAAACTCCTGAGCTCAAACAATCCGCCTGCCTCGGCCTCCCAGAGTGCTAGGATTACAGGCGTGAGCCACCGTGCCCAGCCTAGTTTTTGGTTTTTAAAATCATAGTTTTTGGTTTTTAAAATCAGATCCAGTAAAGATTCACATACTGCATTTGATTATATCTCTTTAAGCAACTCATTTAATCTAAATATTATGGAGCCCCTCCACCTGTTTAAATATGCTCAATTAGTTCATCAATGATTAGATTCAGGTTGGTTTTGGGTTGGGGGTTGGTTTTGATTTTTTGGCAATATGTATACTTCTTACTGCATATGATGTCAGGAGGCGTATGATGTCAGGGTCTTACTATCCATGAACACTAAATTTGATTATTGGTTCTGATCCCTCCATTGTAAGGGTAAATTTCCTCCCTTGTAATTAATAAGTAACCTATGAAGTCATTCTTTGAGGCTGTTGTAATCGTGTGTTCCTGATAACCTTTCACTCCACATCCACTGATAATCCTTGCCTCAATTGCAACACCAAGGGTTGCAAATTGGTAATTTTCTAATTCTGCCATTCCTTCTGTATTTATTACCTGGTATTCTTTTTTATAGAATAAATTTTTCTGTCTCTCACTCCCTCTCTTCTTCTCTCCCTATTTCTTCCTTTTGGAGTAACATTATGGACTCCGGATTTTTTTTTTTAATTCAATATGCTGTAATCATTCTTTTTGGTACTCAAATTATCACAGATTTGGCCAGTGGGAGTCCCTTCAGGCTAGCTCCTGTGTTCTTTCAACAGGACCTCTTTAGTCTTTGATTGCTTCTTTGCTATCTGGCAAAGAAGTTGCAGGCTCACTTTGAACTTTTCCTGTAAAAGTCCTGGAATCATCAATTTCTCCAGGAAGCCCTGGTTTCTTTTAGAGAAGATAACATTTAGAAACCAAGATCCAGGGCCTGGTGTGCTCATTGCTGCTGGGTGTCATTTCCGGGCTCTTTAAGTGAGCAAAGCTAGGAAATGGTAGATGATAGACAATTATCAGTACTTAGGTTTATTGTTACACCTGGTGCCCACTGATAGTGCAAAAAGGGTAGACTGCTTGAGAAGTAGTTTCATTATAGAAGTAATGTAGGAAAAGAGGAAATTGCACAGAAAAGAGCCCAGGCCTACTCCAGGGCTCCATAAATGTATAGGCTATTAGCTAGAACCTCTGTGGCTAAGTACAGCTTCCTGCTGAAGACCTTCAGGGGAGCGGTTCTCTGAAAGGTGTCCAAACTGAAACTCCTAGAGGCCATGACTCTGAGGTCAAGAATGCACATGAAGGCTGGGCGTGGTGGCTCACGCCTATAATCCTAGCACTCTGGGAGGCTGAGGCGGGCGGATCCTTTGAGCTCAGGAGACCAGCCTGAGCAAAAGCAAGACCCCGTCTCTACTAAAAAAATAGAAAGAAATTAGCTGGACAACTAAAAATATATATATATAGCCGTGCATGGTGGCGCATGCCTGTAGTCCCAGCTGCTCGGGAGGCTGAGGCAGAAGGATTGCTTGAGCCCAGGAGTTTGAGGTTGCTGTGAGCGAGGCTGACGCATGGCATTCTAGCCAGGGCAACAAATCGAGACTCTGCCTCAAAAAAAAAAAAAATTAAA